GCTGTATTGTAATCTGTGTTAAAATAGTGGGAATGAGAACCCTGAAACAGGGATAGGAAATATCACTTCAAGTTGCAAGAATTATCCTGGAGCAATGGTGCAGAGCAAGAACACAGAGGACAAATTTGCTGTCTGTGAGCAGTGGGGTGGATTTTTGAGGGAAACTCTTTTAAACATCCAGGACTCACACTAGCACGAAATACGAATTTCATTATGAAGGATCAGTTAACTTTTTATTGTCTGTAATTTTATTACTCTCCTATGTAAAAAGATTCTAGTCAATTGGAAAACACACATAACATTTCAATTGGAAAGCACAAATAACATTCTGTAACCAAAGCGGCAGATAGTAGAGCGTGAGTAGTGAGCCAGTAATACAATCTGAAGAAATGGCTAACAACTGACTCAGGCTAGAAAGTGTGCATAAAAAGGGTTTGTCAGGCACTGTGGAGAGAGTTAGTAAATCAGTTTTGATGTGTAAACTCCTCGTGATTGGAAAAGGTGCTGTAAATTGTTTTATGACCTTTCAGCCGTCATTTCTCTCCTTGCTTTCAAAACAATATGTATAGTGCCTTTATTCAAGACTTCCCATTTTCTTAAAAGAGATTCTAACCGCGCTGCTATTGCTCCGTGGAGCGTAAGGGTTGCCTGCCACTACAGGGGCAGCTTTGATTACAAAAAAGTGGCATCATGCAGCCATGTGGCTGTGATATTGTCACGTAAGGCAGTCAAGCACACTGTGCCATACTGAGGGAGTGGATAAAACCTCCTTAATTGGGGTCAGTTTAGAGAGATGATGATTTAGAAATGATCCTGGGCTATGCTGCATTACTTCCTCTTTTTCCTGCTCATTACTGCGAAGTTCAATACCACGTGCTGTTCTGTGCTCAGTGGAAATACCTGGCTTTGTGTACTGGTAAATGTCTATTCAGGGGTGCTTTTATTTTCCTTTTTTTTTTTTCCCCTTCTTTTCCACCTCAAAAATTAATTATAGTCATTCATAAAGTGAGTTGAACCTATCCAGCAGAAGACAGGAGAGCCAGTACAGCTGAACTCTACAATCTGAACTTAAAATGGGGACCACAATGTTGCTCTAGCACTTTTTTTTTTTCCCTTTTAATATTGGGTTTTGGAGCATACTTTTAAAAGCAGAGTGTGGAAGCTGTGGTAATTTTAGAGCACAGCTGTTTCTTCACTTAACAAATATCTATATTTATCTTGTGAAATTGACTGCTTAGGATAGGTGCACAGGCAGAGTGTTTGGTCTCAATACGAGATTCACAGATGTGTTCTCATCCATCTGGGCATAAAATGAACTTGATCATCCTTCAAATTATGCACCTGGATCCTGAGCCATCCCGATATTTTTAACATTTTTTCATTATTCTCTCTCCCTCTCACTCCTTGCTCTCTCCTCTCCTTCTTAGGCTGAAATACCTCAACTGGTGAGTGAAATTTATCAGAATTTTTTTGTGGAAAGCAGAGAAATACCTGTGGAAAAATCCCTTTATAAAGAAATACAGCAAAGTCTTGTGGGAAATAAAGGCATTGAAGTATTCTACAGAATTCAGGCAGATGTTTACGAAACGCTAAAGGACAGATACTACCCCTCATTCATTGTCAGTGATTTATATGAGAGATCAGTCAAGAAGGAAGAAGAAAGAAGTTCTGCTCAGCTAACTCCTGAGGACAAAGATGAAGTGGTGAGTCACATGGACAACTTCTTTCACTGTTATTTAAGGTGGTCTAGAGATGATCCTGACTTAGCAGTATGGTAGCATCTTCTGTCCTTGAGCTTTGGACTAATTTTCTTTTTTTTTTCTGGTGTATTTATAAATGTCATCGCTCTAATAGTTTCATCAGGGAAATGTAGTATGTTTACAAGCCCTTCGAAACAAAATGCTACCAAATGACTGGCTACTTTAAAGTTTAACTAATTTAAAGTAGTATTTCAGATTTCCAAGCCTTTTGTATTCCATATCTTTCATTATGCTCCTTGATATCCGAGAGTGTAAAACATACCTTATACAAGCTCAGCTGTGCTGCTTTTCAGTGAAGGAAATCTCACTGAAACATTGGTAGATTTTGGTCTAGACATTGTCTGTCCTTCTGTTCATTTCCTAGGTACTAAACAGGTATTAAAATATGCACAAAAGAGAAGAACACTAATGAAAAATACAATCTTAGTGCTTTTTTATTAAGTTATTGAATAAATTAATAGGCTCTGTTGGAAGATAAAACTGATTAAAATAGCACTAGACTTGGAAATACTAAAACAGAGCATTCAAAAGGTCATAAGCAATAACCCAATGGCAGCTCTCTTGGGGTGGGTTTTTTCACTGGATTCTCTGAATTGGTCATGTTGAGGGAACTTGTGTTACATTTATCTAAGAACATTTTGACAAGAGCATCTCTCAGACTAGTGAGCATCGTTGCTACTTCAAATCGGCATGAGTATCTTCATTTTACGTATGAACTTGCTCAGAACACAACGAAGTGTAATAGTTTGTCTAAAACTGGATCCAAATGGACAAATAAGAAGCAGAATCTAAAGGTGCTGATCTACATTCTGCCATTTAGAAACATTTTTTTCCAGAATCTAAGGCTTTTGTGTTTACTGCTTAAATATGACTTTTGTTTCTGTAGGTGAACTGTTACAGTCTCCATAGTCACGTATAAGCAAATCTGCAGAGATTAGCTTTTATGAGTAAATTACTTCCAATATGAACTTTTGCAGCTTGCCAAATTTTTCAGTATTTGTTTCTCCCTGTATTCTTTTCCTTGGTAAAAGATTCAAGACACATTTTCTACTTTTCTCACTGCTAACTCATCTATTTGTTGAAGGTGGTAGCTGTTTCAAAGACTTTCTGTCCTTGTGTTTGCACCCATTGGGACTTCGAGAAATGACTGTGACTACTTTTGTCCAGAACTTTCTAAGTATTAACATTGTGCTTTTTAATCTCTTTATACCTTTTATTCAGAAGCTGACAGAGATAACAGTTTCTCTAAGGAGACTGACGTGACATTTTAGGGCTACCTGTTCTCTGTCGGATAACATTTACTATAGCTGCTGAAAAATTAGGCTTTTGACATCAGCATCGTCTGTCCTTCCTCTGAGTTCTTGGATATGTATGTGCCAGATTTGAAGACTGTGTCTGCTGTGAAACCTTAAAGTCTAATATATTGCCAAGTTTGCTTATATGGTTAAAGTTTTTTTTCATTTTTAACGACAAATTAAGTATGAAGTTGCATATGCTGTTAGAGCATCTCTTGAATAGAGCAATCCCAATGGCTCTGTGCCATGCTTCAGGGTCTTTGAGTTGAAAATAAATTATAAGAAATTTTCCTTCTGAAGCTTCCAGCAGCCTTTCAAACGTTGGTGAAAATGCATTACTGGCTAATAGGTTTGGATTTTCTCCTCCCCGTATGTGGAAAACCACGGCTGAGAGATCTGATATTTCTGGGAGGTGGTCCATATTGTTAGCAAATACTAATTGTTTTTGTTTTAGTTTGAGTTTTGGAGGTCTGTGTCCTCACTTTCTGCAGCACTGTGGGAGTTACCTATGTTAATTTTCTGTACATTCCACTGTTATGGCTGGATAGGTAAAAAGCCATCTAATGTCCTTGTGGAGGGGAGGTCAAAAGGATGAGCCCTGATTAAATATGAGAGTATGAAATCAGAAGACAGGAATCACGGCAAGGCCAGACTCTGCTGAATCTGCTTCATGTGGAACAAGCTCACTTTTCCTTCCAATCCGTCATCGCTTTTCACTCCTTGGACAAACCTCTTTTAAAAGGTCCTGAGTTAGATGTAAAAGTATAGAAGCCTGCATTCAGCACTCTGAAGAAAGAGGGTCTGGTGGTTGCATCAGTGCTGCGTGTGTCAGATCACTAAAGTAAACCCAAAGTCTGGGTTCTGCAGCACTCACGGAAATGGAAGTCATTATCAGTTTAGCAGCCAGTGGAGAACAGCACAATCCTTTATGATCTCAGCTTTGAGTGTGGTGGTTGTTTATTTGATAAATTTGGCAATTTGAATACAGGTAACTTGTTATCTTGTAATCCTAGCATTTTTGTGATAAATCTAGTAATTCAGCAGTGTTTTTTTCTATGAGAGTCTGAAACGTTAATAACAGAGAAATCATGTAGCCTACCTCTGGGAGCAGGGCCTTACTAATTTGTAATTAATTGAAATCCTTTGATTACTAGAACCAAACTTCATATGAAAAGTCTTTTAATTCTTCAGTGTTGAAAACAGCATTTTTGATTCTTTTTGACCTCTGTGCTTCCCAGCAAATGCAAGTTTTTATTTTATGGTACTGTTCAATAATGTTTTGAATAACAGCCAGTGTTGTTTATTATTATTATTCGTATTATTGTAGTGCCAGCAGACAACAACAAGCTTCTGTGAGCTGACCTCTGTACACATGTTTGGAGACAGTCTCTGACCTGAGGAGTCTACAGTCTGTGCAGAATAGACAGAAGAAAGGACGGGGCATAGAGCTAACGTTACTCAGCTGCATGGGAGGCAAATGCAGAGCTGGAAGAGGGCATGGATTTTTTTTAGCCTAAAAGTCCTGACTTCTGCATTATGCTGCCCTCCCTTATGAGGATCACACTAAGGAGATTAATTATTGTTGCCACTGTATCTCTTTTCAGACTTTTTTAACTAAGATGTAAAACATTGCAGAATTTACAGTACCATTTTTTTCCTCTGAAACTCACAGAATTTAGTAGAGTATGAGACTTCCTTCTGTTAGCTTTTTGTTAATTATATAAAGATGCAGCTTACTTAGTGGGAATATCATTAAATAGCACAGAACTCATGAGATTAGATTCATAGCTTCCCACAGATAATTTAAGATGTATTCAGTCACAAGCAGACCTCAAAGATCTTTGAACATGGCAACGGTAAGATCACAGTGCTGTGTTTGCTGAATCTCAGGGCCTTCATGCCTGTTTGGTGGAGCACAGTAAGAAAGGGGAGACTGAGGCAAATGCCAAAAGATGTTAGATAATGCCACTGAAAGGTGTGAAGTGTTCTATTTTTTTGCATGCCTGTAGTACGAAAGGTGGGAAAAGGTATTGGTTTGTTTGAATGAATGCAGGAAAATGATTTACGAGTTTAGGGTAATGCTTATGTGCTTTTAACACTTTTTTTATTAACACTTCTAAAAACAGCAGTAAAATCTTTTTATGAAGAGAAAGGACTTAGGTTGTTTTGCAGGCTGATAAGTCTGTTTTGTGAAGGTTTGTGGGAGGCTAGAACTGTGGGGTTTTGGGGTTTGTTCCCCTCCCCACCTCATTATCTTTCAGCTCAGAGCCAAGTGTTTGCTTTTGTATCTGGCTCTGAATATTGATCATGACTACTAAGCTGTTGTTGCTTTTAAAATAAACTTTGATTCTTCCTCTTATTTATGCTAAAGCCTTAGCTTGAAGGTCATCTTACACAGATGACAAGAGTTGCGGAAGAGCTATAGTATAAATGATGACAATGCTTTGTCTGTTGTGTTTGTGTGGTTTTTTTTTTTTTAACAGACTTACCTTTCATGTTGGATCTGGTGGTTGGAATATCTGTTAGAACCTGTTATCCCTAAATTTTTGTCTATATCAAGAATAAGTGTTCTCATACAGAAAATGCAAACAATAACTGTCTCTTTTTTCACATTAGTGATACATTTACTCCCATCCTCTATTCCTAGAACCAAGGTTGTGAAGAAGCTACTGAAGAATGCAGCACAAGAATTAATGAACAGGCCAGTTATGCTGTAAATAAACTTCGCCAGCTAAACGACAAGCTTGAGTATAAGAAACAGGCTCTGAATTCCATATGTAATTCACCAAAACCCGACAAAAAGGTAAGTACCTTTAGTGTCTTAGATCTTTTTTTTTTTCCAATATATATATGATGTGTGTGTTTGTGTAATAGCCAGTTATCTCAGGCTCTTTTTGGACAGGTCAGATTGCTATTTCAATCAGCCTGTTAAAGAAAGTGATATCAAAACTTAGTTTTAATTGTTCATTTTTCCCTTTTTTTTTTAAAGTTATTGTAACTAAAATTGCAAATATGATTTATATTGCTTTGTTTGTCATAAAATAACGACCTCCCTCCCAGTGGTCTTGTTGCTTTGTCCGTGGCAAATAGTATTTCTTCCTTACTTCTCTACCCACCTATATCTGTGTAATTCTTTGACAGCTTGTTTCATGTCCCTACTGCATCTGCAGCACTGCAGCAGAGGGATGTGCTTGTTAACTTCTGCTCCCTCTCCTGGCTTTGAAATAGCACAGCACAATTTCATAATCTCTTCAGTTGTGACTGGCTTGCTCAAATAAGGGGGGGGGAAAAAACCTCAAACCTATAAAAGTGACTGATTTCCTTTATAAGGAGCTAGGAGAAGTCTGCAGGGCACACTTTCATCAGACTAAAAAAAGTCTGAGGGATATGAATCTTCAGCTCGCTGGGTTTGGATTAAAAAATAATTTAAAAAATACGTTTTTCTTGTTGCAAAGTGCGACTGTTAAGCAATCTAAGAACATATTCAGGCAGACGCAAGTGATTTGCATTTGGCTTAGGCCAACTCATTTGCATTGCTACTGAAGATGGTATTACAGGACTGTTGTTCAGATGCAGCTGGGCCATGCTTTTCAGGTGTAATGAGGTTGGTTGCAAATGATAGACAGTGGGTGAGACATGAGATGAACAAGTAGTCAAGGCATTTCCCTAAGATGGCCTCCTGCTATGGATGGCAAAAATGCAGCTGGGCATTAGTCATTGCTCAGGACCTGGCTGCTTTGTACATTGGTTCCTTCACTCAGGGTGAGTGCAAGATGCTGGTCTGAATAGCAGTTGTAACCCTGCTCGTTCTCTGTTCCCCCAGCTGAGGGGATAGCTCCCTCTGAGAGGAAGATGTGGACAGTGGTGTTTGAGGCCACCCTGGCTAGCTTCATTCCCTCTGTCACTTCCACATCTCCCTCTGCCAGAGGTTACTGCAGACAACTGAAAACGTGTCCGCAGTTGTTGGGGTGTCTTGCTCGCAGCTGCTCTGCTGTGTGCGGCCTCAGCTGGCAGAAGATACCTCTTATTTGTCATCCAACCACTACTGTTCGGAGTGGTAAGAGCACAGATGTGTGTCTGTTTGTTTGGGTTTGGGTTTTAGGTTTGGGTTTTTTTTTTTTTTGTAATGCCTGTATTACTGCAGTAGCATTTACCTGTGGAGCTTTTAAATGGATAGTTAGGGTTGATGGTGTGAGAGCACCTTGTCGCAGGGACTTTATTTCTTCGTTGCTGGACTTGGCAGGTAAAAATTTGTTTCTTGGTCATATGAAGTGAGAAACGTTTCTAAAAATTCCACAGTTTTATGCCATATGAAGGGGAATGTCACACACATTTTGTATTACATTTTTTAACCTCAAGCTGTTCCTGGGTTGTTTGTCTTCTCTTTTTGAAATGCCTTTGTGGTGAGACCCATACAAAACATGTATGTACATCTTTTATTTCATAGATTTCATAGATTTCTAGGTTGGAAAATACCTTAGAGATCATCCAGTCCAACCGTCCCTAATCTCCCATTAAACCATATCCCTAAGTAGTTCATAAGTGGTTTTAAGTGGCTTCTGGCACTGTGCAACCCAGATGCCAGTCAGTCAAGGAAGAAAACTGCTCATTTGAGTTGCACGTGGAATGCTGCTAGTTTTAAAAGAAAATACTTTGTAGGAAAAAGTCTGATTTCAGTTCTTTCTGTGGAACATGGAGAGTAGCAAAGATGACATGAAAAGATGGCAAGCAGTCTCAGGCCACGTCTCTGATGTCTAAGGCGCACTGACATAGAAGACAGCTTGATCTTTGGAGGTCTGTGACTCTGGTGTTGCCTTCAGCATGTGTCTCGTACCCAGAGCTCAGCGGCTGTCTCCCTTGGGTCTGTGAGTGCATCTCATGCCATCCTGTGCTATCATAGTACATGTGCAGGGACCAGATTCTTTGTAGAGTTCAGTCTTGCCATCCTCAGTAGCAAAGCAAAACCTTAATTAACATTCCCCACTGAGAGCACTTTCTAGTCTTTGCTAAGCCTTATTTTCAAACAAAACGATTTGACACGATTACTGAAATTAAGTGGGACTTAACAGAAAAACGCCTCTGTCTCTATCAGGAATTAAGTGGAAGTCAGAAGTTCAGAAGTCGTTTCTGAAAAAGACAGAATTACTGTAGCTTTGTAGAATGTTCCACTTGTGGTGCAGATCTTACAACTAAGACTCATAAATTTGACTGTGGTATATCATATTTAAAAAAAAAAGTCAGCTTCTTTTGCTGTGTTTCTAATGTCACATCTTATGTATGCTTCCACCTTCTGTTGTCATACTGTCTTCTCGTAGCATGTATGGTTACTTATTTTTTGCTAATGTGATGCGATACACTATTTCTCATTTACGAGATTATGATAATGAGCTATGTCTTGATGAGAACATCTTTTTAAATGTGTGCTTTCCACAGTAAGAAATCCTTCCCTTTCCAAAACCAAAATGAATCAAGTGGTAACTTCCCGAGTGATTGTTAACATAGATAAGTACCTAGAAATTAAATCTGTTCTTCCCAGGTTCTTCAGTTGCATCATGTATATCTGAAAACGGTAAGGATGATGTCTTCTGTAATGCATATTTCAGTAATTGCTATTTCAAGTTTGTATAAAAGATATAAAGGGTTATATATGTGTGTAATATATAATCCTATCTAAAGTGCCTTTTATGCTGATAGTGTGGTAGTAGCATGTCCTTCTAATCACAGAATCACAGAATATTAGGGATTGGAAGGGACCTCAAAGGATCATCTAGTCCAATCCCCCTGCCGGAGCAGGACCACCTAGATTAGATCACACAAGAACGCGTCCAGGCGGGTTTTGAACATCTCCAGAGAAGGAGACTCCACAACCTCTCTGGGCAGCCTGTTCCAGTGTTCTCTTACCCTTACTGGGAAGAAGTTCTTCCTCATGTTTAAGTGGAACCTCCTATGTTCCATCTTATATCCATTTCCCCTTGTCCTATCATTGGATGCCACTGAGAAGAGCCTGACTCCATCCTCATGACAGTCACCCTTTACATATTTATAAACATTAATGAGGTCCCCCCTCAGTCTCTTATTCTCCAGGCTAAAGAGACCCAGCTCCCTCAGCCTTTCCTCATAAGGGAGATGCTCCACTCCCTTCATCATCTTTGTGGCCCTGCGCTGGACTCTCTCAAGCAGTTCCTTGTCTTTCTTGAACTGAGGGGCCCAGAACTGGACACAATATTCCAGATGCGGCCTCACCAGGGCGGAGTAGAGGGGGAGGAGAACCTCTCTCGACCTACTAACCACACCCCTTCTAATACACCCCAGGATGGCATTGGCCTTCTTGGCCACAAGGTCACATTGCTGACTCATGTTCATCCTGCTGTCCACCAGGACCCCCAGGTCCCTTTTCCCTGTGCTGTTCCCCAGCAGTTCAGTTCCCAACTCGTACTGGTACATGGGGTTGTTTTTTAGCCAAATGCAAGACTCTACACTTGCCCTGGTTGTATTTCATTAAATTTCTCCCTGCCCAACTCTCCAGCCTGTCCAGGTCTCTGAATGGCAGCACAGCCTTCTGATATGTCGGCCACTCCTCCCCGTTTAGTGTCATCAGCAAACTTGCTGACCATGCACTCTATTCCCTCATCCAAGTCATTGATGAACAATACTGGTCCCAGTACCGACCCTTGAGGGACTCCACTGGATACAGGCCTCCAACTGCACTCTGTCCCATTGACTACTACACTCTGGCTTCTATCCTTCAGCCAGT